ATGATTCACTGGAGGTTTTCTGAATACTTGAAAGAAGTTTTATCTCTAACGGCAGCTGTCTATGAAACGCCGTCCTTTCCGTACTCTGAGGGTCTAGCCGCCACGATATTTCCACCGGTAAAGTACCCCAGTCTATCACCACCAATTTTGTGATTGATCAATGGAATCTAATCGAAACTTTCACGTTGCAGAGTTCCAAAGTTACTGTTAACGATTTCCTCGACACGCTATTGTCGGATCCTGGGCCTCACTGTCTCATTTGGCTGCCACTTTACCACAGAATGGCCGCCGTTGAATCGGGTAATTACAATCTCAACTCAAACAATTATTCAAGGAAACGGAAATCAATTAGAATTGGATGATCAAAAATTAGCATGCAATGGAACAAGGGATCGACTCTAATATTATTTTCCTCAATGTTTGTGTTAATATTTTGAATTTCTTCAACCTTAGGATAATCTTCATTGGTAGAGACAGACTACCTAGGTATTACTTATTATCCATCTGTCGATGGACAAGTGATACGGTTACGGAAATTCTAAATATAATATTACTGACCGGTGTACTGTTTTTATTCTTGCGTGACTTGTGACTGTAGGTTTCATGGAATTTTTTCATTTACCATTCACTGATGTTACCACTAATATAATGTTAATTTTGATTATCTCTGAATGAAACTGCATGTGAACTTCGTATTTTGGTAAATAACTTGGGACCTATGGGAGATGGCAAAATTTCCATAGTAACTTATTTGTAGACTTTGATTTTCCCTACAAAAAGTTCTTATAAAAAATCTAGTTATTTCCGGCACATTCTGAAATAATTTTCAAAAACATTCTTCGAATCTGAACGGTTGAAAGTGAAATGAATGAAAGAATGGATTCTGTTCTTGTGTAATATATAAAAATGCGTGAGATATCGCGGAATTTGGCGAAGAACTTTTTTCTAGCTTTTAATTTTGTCCATAAAAAAGGTCCTTACAGGAATCCGCGATATCCCATAAGTCTTTAGAGATTTAACTAGAATTAGCAAGTCTAGAGAGATTTATTGATTGCTAAACATTTACTTGGTATAATTAAACTATTCCGCATTGCAGTGACCCATCCCATAATGTGTGACGCCTGTCACAAGGATAATTTCACTGGTTTTCGTTATCGTTGCCAAAAGTGTCACTCTTATCAACTGTGCCAGGACTGCTTTTGGCGTGGGAAAGTATCCGGCGGGCATAATAATGATCACGAGACCAGAGAGTACAGTAGTTTCGTAAGTAATTACCACATTTTTAACAAAAGCCCAAACACTCCATAGAAAATTGAAAAACAATTGAAAAATAATTGACTGAGAGTTACACTCCAACTCTAAAAGAAGAACATAGTATTATGTATCGAATTTATATTTAGTTATAGAGCAATTTATCATTGGAATTTTGCAGAAATCCCCATCTAAGCAAATCGGTCACTCCCTTCGTAAGAGCTTCAGATGCGTCCCAGAGAAGGGAAAAAACAGTCTTCCAAGATTTCCAGAGCAGCCGGAGAAAACTCTGGACCTATCCCACATAGTGTAAATATCGATTACTCACTGTGGTCGCCAAGACAAATTGTTTAATCAAGATTTAACTTATGGCAGGCCCCCGTCACCTCTACCATCACACAACGGCTTTCCAGATCCCGGGTTTATGGCTGCCTTTGACGCCGGTTCAATGGACAGTCGTTCAACACTCAAAAGTCTTGATAGTTCCAGAGTTGATGACGAACATAAATTAATCGCCAGATATGCACAGAGACTGGCACAAGAGGCAAGAACTGTGGTAAAACTCATACAGCATTTTTTTTTTCATTTTTTTAACGCTATTAAAAATTGTTCCTCCGGACTGATGAAATTTTGACTGTTGACTCAATTATTTTGTGGATTTTTATTATTATCTCGATATTATTATCTCGATATCTTGGAACTTGAACAAATTAATTAAATTTCATATTATTCAATTTCTCTTTTATCATAATGTGCCCTACAAAAAAATTGCTTGACATTCAACACATTTGAAATTCTGTTTCCCACACAGTCCGCAGGAAAATTCTCTTCCGTATCAAATTTCCGCTCAATTAATCAAGAAAATTAGAGCCTAAAACTGAACAAATGTTCACAGCCGCGTGCATCGTCGAGAATATCCCAGGGCGACCAATCGGTGAGTTTTTCTCGTTTTTCTCTCCCCGCCAGAAACCCACACCTAATAGAATTGCGACTAATTAATTTTACTACTGTTGATCCCATACCATATTTACACCAAACAGCAGGGGCGAGTGCCATCAGACGCAAACTTGGCTTCTCTGGACGCATCACGAGCTCAGCGTGAACTCATTTCACAGCTCGAGGCGAAAAACAAGGAAATCATGAGGGAGATTGCAAGGTTAAGGTATACCTGTGTCGTTTAAGAATTCCCTTAAACATCAGACCCATCACCACAATCCCATCGAACCATCCTGATCATGCATGCATTTTTTCATTCGTTTCTTCGAGCTTTTCGTTATTATTTACGCTGAATTTTATAGAAATTTTATAGAGTTTTAGTGATGTACTGTTAGAATTTTTTGAAATTTCATCTGAATTTTCAATTATGTGAGGTTTGCCTTCAGACTTAGATCAAATGTACTATCTATCGAACGTAATCTTTGGTTTGAATTTTATTTTGTTAGCGCAAAATATTTCTAAAATTGAATTTTAATCTGTGTTTAACCACTCTAATGGTTATAAAGAAAACAATGATAAAACCGAGATATTGATCCCGAGGATCTGTCGATTTCACAGAAGAGTAATCGAAAATACGCAATCTATCGCCATGATGGGGGCAAAGAATACATTTGACGGTCCATAACAATATAGAATGAAAATGGATCGTCAAATGTCACCAATGGTCACTCGGTATTTTTCATTATTATTCTGTAAACTTATAAGATCCTTGGATACAATATCTTGATCTTTCACCCTTCAACATTTCATGCTCTTTTTTATCCTTATTCTTTTGATAACCATTGAAGTGGTGTCCACAACACAATTTGAAAAGAATATTTAGAAATATTTTAAGATGACAAGATAAAATTCAAACCAAAGTTTATGATCAATAGATAGTACATGTGGGTCTTCAATCTATTATTTAATAATTGCGTAATTCATATTGAATTACGCAAATTTATTAGGAAAGTTTGAATTTTGGGACTGACTGCGAAAAATCGGAATATTTAAAAAAATTTTCAGCGTCTTATGGGCCTGAAAATAGAGAATTACTTGAATATTCAAAAGATTTATGGTCATTGTCGTTGCTAAAAATTTCAAGTTTTTCCACTTGAGATTTCAAGGGCAATTTTCTAACAGTGCAAATCTTGGAGTTTCGAAGTTTTCAGAGTTTTCACTTCATGAAAATCATTGAGAAAATTATGGGGAGAATGATGGAGGTGTTTAATTATTTTTCTGGATTTTTTTTCTGGTCTCTTTTGGGGGATTAGAAGGCAGCAGGAGATGGAGGCTGCAGAGATTCAGGACCCTGCGCTCCTGTCGGAGCTCAGGGCCTTGAGAATGAGAAAGGATGAGCTCGAGACGCATTTAACGACTCTTCAGGACTCTAGAAGACAGCTCATGGCACAACTCGAGGGATTGATGAAGACTTTGAAGGTAAATATTCGGTGAAGAAAACAAAAACGTAAAATTCGCGACCTCCATTTCTTTATAATGAATAATAATTTTTATTTCTAAAATTTGTTGAATAATTTCCATCCAGTCGGAAGCATATTATCAATTAATCACCAAAGGAACATAGGTAATGAGTTATTATAGCTCCCCCAAATTTTTTCTGCGAACTAAGGCAAATCTTAATTTTCTTGCACTCATTTTATAGGAAATGACGTATTAAAATTTGTATTAAAATCTGGGTACTTCAAATGAATTCAGTAGCGAAGGATAGAGCAGTTCAAGTCGATTTTTGTCGAAAATAATAATTTAAATAAGGAGCTAGGTCGACATAGCTTTCCCAACTAAAAACAGCAAGAGAGACAACGCGAATTTTGAGAAATAAATGGTTGCAGAAGGTGAAACTATTAGTATGAAGAACTCAAAATCAAATGACATTCGTTAATAATTTGCACAAAGCCATAACAAAGGAGTAACAATCAGTTTTTCATTTCTCCTATAAAATGTGCTTCTTTAGACTTAACCCATTTTATCGCTTCGCTCATAAATT